GGGGGGGTGCCCTACCCGCGCACGGGTCGCCGCCGGGGGGCGTGAGAGCTCCTTTGGAGTGGACCTTAGGTAAACTTTTTTGTGGACCAGTTTTTCCTCGCCGATTTCGCCTCCACGGCTCCTAGCCGTCGACGGAAGGACCTACTGAACCGGGACGCGACGAAGGGCGGTGCGCCCTCGTGCGCGGAGAGGGTCGTCGCGTCGCTCGTCGACATCATATCGCATCTCGCGGGCCGCACCGCGGCGGCCGCGGCGCGCGCGTCGGCGGTCGCGCGGTGGCGCCGCGCGCGCCGTCGCTCTCGAGACCCTCCTTCGGCGCACCTACCGCGAGTGCGCCAGCTTGCGCATCGCCGACGCGACATTCTTCGCGCGTCCTTTGGTTGAAGTCAAGGTGAAGTTTCGCGATCAACCAGTTGCGCAATCGAGCCACGTTGATATGCTTGCTCGATCCTGCCGCTCTAAGCCGTAGCGGTACGCGCTCGCGTCGAACGTCGCCGTGCGCGGCATGAGGCGGCGCCTCCTGTGCATCGCCGCCGCCTGCGCCGTCGCGTCGGCGCGCGGTGCGCCGCGCGGCGCCGGTCCGGCGCCGGCCCGCGGGCGCGCGCTCGCGGCGGCGAAGCAAAGGAACGCGACGTCGCCGCTGGCCGTCGTTCGCCGGCGCGTTTCCCGAGCGGTCGCCGCGCCGTACCGCGCGCTGCGCGCGGCCTGGGACCGGTGGCCGCCCGCGGCGACGCGCGTGCTCCTCACGTGCTCGTCGCTGTACTGCGCCTTCGTCGCCTACGAGCACGACCGCGACATGGCGGCCATGCGGCGCAAGCTCACGGACTTCCGCGGCGCGTCGGAGTTCGCGGCGGAGACGTCGAAGCGGGCGCTCCGCGAGGCCGCGGTCGCCGCGGCGGCCGCCGCGAACGCGACGCAGACGCACGCGCCGCGCTTCTGGGCCGCCGCGCGGCCCGGCGTCGAGGCCGCGGGCCACGCGGCCGCGCGCGGGGGCAGGGCCGTCGGCGGCCTCGCCGTCGACGGCGCGGCGATCGCGCTCGACGCGCTCGACGACGCGCGGGAGAGGCTGCGGCGCCGCCGGGAGGAGCGCGAGGGGCGGCCCGCCGCGCCGCGCCCGGCGCCGCCGGAGCGGGGCGAGGGGCGGCGCTTCCTGCCGCGCGTCGACCGGCCGCCGCCGCCCCCGGAGCCGTCGTGGCTCCGGAGGCGCGTCGACGCGGCGCGCGCGCGCCTCGCCGGCGGCGAGCCCGAGGCCGCCGCCGCCGACGACGAGCCCCCGCCGGGCGGGCCGGCGGCGCGCGCGAAACGGGCCCTGCGCGCCGCGCGCGCCGCCGCGGTCGCGCCGCTCGCGCGCCGCCGCGCGGCCGCGAACGCCACGGACCCCGACGGACGCGCCGACGAGGCAGAGGCGGAGGACGTCGAGGAGGAGGAGGAGGAGGAACGGGATGAGGAGGAGGAACAGGAGGAGGAGGCGGACGACGACGACGACGACGACGACGACGACGACCGCGGCGACGACGACGACCGCGGCGACGACGACGACGACGACCGCGACGACGCTCCTCAAGAAGCGTCCCGGCGAAGCGGCCTCGTAACGTATCACACCTAAACCCCGGTACAGTGCTCAGTGCCCGAGGCTCATCAGCTTGCCCCGAGCACCGCGCCGGCGCCGGCGCGGAAGAGGGAGGGGCGGCCTAGAGGGGCGGCCTCTAGAGAGGCGCGGCCTTGGCCCAGCTTGGGCTCGCAGCTGGGGGCACAGTGCCGAGTGATGCGTTTTGCGATGGCCCGTGCGCGCGACCTCGAGCGAACGCATGGTGCCAAATTGGCAGGCGCCTAGAGGACCCTACTGAGAGTGCCTCTGCAGCGCATCGACGTGCGGGAAGTCGAACGCGTCGCGAAACCCGCCCGTGCGCTCCGCAGTGCAAACCAGTGGAGGTCGGTCGACGGGACCGCCTTCCGCGCCGCGCGCGACTACGGCGGCTGCTGCGAGCGCTTCGGAGGGTCCACGAAGGTAATACGGACGGGGCGCGACGTCGAACATCGTCCCGACGCACGTATTTCGACCGCGGGCTGGCGCTCGAGGCGCGCAGCGAGACGCTGGCGGGCGAGTTCGCATCGATGACGGCGGGTCCAACGATCTCTGGCTGCTGCAGAGGTCGACATCTTCTACCACAAGACCTGCGAGGCGAGGCGCGCGAGCCTGGGACCCGTCGACGGCCCGTGACACGCCGACGGTTTCGGGGTCGTTTTCGGTGCCCGAGACGCGTTTTTTTCGCCGACGAGAAAACGCTGCCGTCGCGCGGTCTTTTTGGCCGGGCCGTCGCGTATGGTCATGCCGACGTGCGCGCGGCCCTTTAGAGCGCCGAAAACGACTCCCGTGGCGTCGCGTAAGTGTCGGTTTTGGCTGGATTTCCTCTAGGGATCGGACGAACGCCATCCGATCGCTGCAACACCCTCACGGTTGGGCGTGAGACCTTGCTGGGGCGTTCCTTAGACGTACCTGCCGGTGCCTGCCAATTTGGCACCATGGAAACGACCATCGTCGCGCGCGCTGGCGTCGGCACTGCACTGTGCCCCCAGATGGCTCGCTCCCAACATCAATGACGATGTGGGCTCACGCCGTTCTGCTTGCGGCGTCCCTGCGCTGCGCGTCGTCGCTCGTCGCGCCGTCGCCGCGGCCGGCGCCGCGGACCGCGGTGTCCGCCGGCGGCGCCTGGGACCTCGAGCTCTTCTCGCCCGCGAAAGTGAACCTGTTCCTGCGCATCTTGCGGAAGCGCGACGACGGCTTCCACGACCTCGCGTCGCTGTTCCAGGCCGTGGACCTCGGCGACACGCTCGCCTTCGAGGTGCTCGGCGACGGCGCGAAAGCGGACGCGCTCGAGTGCGACGCGCCGGGCTGCCCGCTCGACGCGTCGAATTTGGTGCTCCGGGCGATCGCGCTGCTCCGGGCCCGGCTCGAACATCGCGCGGCCGTGCCCTTCCTGCGCGTGCGCCTCGACAAGCGCACGCCCATCCAGGCGGGCCTCGGCGGCGGGTCGTCGAACGCGGCGACGGCGCTCTACGCGGCGAACGAGCTCGCGGGCCGCCCCGCGAGCGCCGCGGAGCTCGTCGAGTGGTCCGGCGAGCTCGGCAGCGACATCACCTTCTTCCTCGGCCCCACGGGCTCCTGCTACTGCACGGGCCGCGGCGAGGTCCTCGAGCCCGTGGACGCGCTGCCCGCGCGCGACCTCGTCGTCGTCAAGCCCG